TGTAACCTGAAGCATATGTAACCTGAAGCGTATGTAACCCGAGGTACCACTGTATGTCAAGTGCAATTCCACTGTTATACAGTGATACCTCTAGTTATGAAATTCATTCCGGAGGTCCGTTCTTAACCTGAAACTGTTCTTAACTAGAGGCGTGCTTTCGCTAATGGGGCCTCTTACTGCTGCTGCGCCGCCGGCACACAATTTCCGTTCTCATCCTGGGGCAAAGTTCTCAACTTAAGGTAACTCTTCCAGGTTAGCTGAGTTTGTAACCTGAAGCGTTTGTAACCTGAGGCGTTTGTAACTCAAGGTACCACTGTATTTGGGTGCTATTTCACTTTATAAAAATGCATTCATGGCAATAAATCCATTTTGTTGTGGAAACATTACCTGCCAGGGCTGAAGGTTTTTCCATTCAGTTTTTTTACCACCTGCTAGTGGGTCGTGGTTGGATCTTGATGAGTACATGATGTGCAAAGCTTGTGCCACGGCATGGGCAGCATTGAAGATGCTGTAGCTGTGACCAGTCATGCGAGTTTCAAAAACAGACCCAAAAAGGTTATCTAGCCTCTCATCCCTGGTACAAACCTTTTTATCAACTTCTAATGGCACATTGTGATTCGGGAATGAGCACTGGAATGCTTGCTCCCAGAAATCCTTGAGGAAAGAATCTCCTTCTTCCCAATAAAGTTTTATATTCTGAAGATATGCCTGGAACCCTGATGGTTCATTTGAGTGAACCTCAAAAGAAACGGTGCCTTGGAAAAATTCAGGATCCCAACCTGTGATAAGGGCTATAACTGTAAAATCAATCTGGGCTGTCACGATCCATATCTTTCCAGAAGATGTGTTTTCCTGATATTCAGAATCAGTTAGAAACATCATAGTAGTCAGCCACATAACAGTGAGAGTTTCTCCATAGAAAACATAAGTGCTGATTCTGTGGTCTGTGAAAGGCTGATATATATTTGTGGCTGTATCAATCATGTCAGTGATATTAATCAACCGAGCTTGGCTTGGGATTCTCTGTGTGAAGGCTGAGCAGATTCCATTTTCAGAAAACAATGCCTCTAGGGCCTGCAAGAAATGGTCTCCACTCTCATCATCCACAGCAAAGAGCCCAACCCAGGTCCATCCAAAATGCTGAAGCAGTCGGATAACCCCCATATATTGATGGGCTTCGTTTGGGACCATGCGATAAAAAGAGGAGACATTTTCCTCTGGAGGAAATGAGCCATATGTGAGCTATAAGGAAACACACCAGTATCTCAGAAATGACTTTAAAGTATTATATACGCATGTTCCTTTTTATGCAAATAAAAGGCACTTATGATTTAGACTTCTACCTTTGGTTAAAATTAACCCTGTTGAAAATCAATGGCCCTTCTTTTTAGAATGCAGATATATGGCACACTTTTATTTAAGTTAATTATGATAAAGAACTCTATTAGGTATCCCTATTATTATTATTATTTTCCCACCAACTTTTGAGAGTAATTCTTATTTGGCTTCAGTATCGCCACTTTCTCCAAGACTTTTCTTTTCCAGATCTGAAATCAATTCACTCACTTTCTGAAGCTAATTTTGTGATCCCCATGCAGAGAAAAATGGTATACGACCAGTTTGCAGTTGCAGATTCTAAAACAATATGCTACAGCCACAAGCTGTCTTTCCACCAGACTTGTCTTAAAGGGGTAGATCTTACCTGCGGAATCTTGTAGAGACTTAAGAGGTCTGCCATGTGGAAGGAAATATCAGGGCCAAGTCCCCCAATGATGGATATGAGGCTTTTCTGGCTCCCACATTCATAGTTAGGGACAAATCTATGCAATTTGAACAGCACATCCAGAGTTGTGCGGTAGGCCATCCTCTCATTGAAGTAGCTGTCACAGACATGGAGCCCAAGTGTGACATTGGGCAAGATCCTGGGATTCTCGTTGATCTCATTTACGGAAAAAGCCAATGCTAAGACATGCTGGTAGAACTTTGTCACCATACTGAAAAGATAGATAGATGATAGATAGATAGATAGATAGATAGATAGATAGATAGATGATAGATAGATAGATAGATAGATAGATAGATAGATAGATAGATAGAGATAGATGATAGATAGATGATAGATAGATAGATAGATAGATAGATATAGATAGATAGAGATACACACACACACACACATTTTCACAGACAAATTTTTACAGTCCAACAGCTCTGAGCTCTGAGCAACTGAAATGCTCCAATTGAAATGCCATCACTTTCGGAAGGATTAAAAAAAAGAAAAAGAAATCATGAGTGCTGAGAGCTATAGGATGAAGCTGCAAAAAGGACAGAGAACAAATAAAAGGGCCATATAAGAAGAGACAACAGTGGGAAATTTGTCTGAATTTGTGAAGCATAACTGGTAAAAGGCAGAATTTGGAAATCATTGAAAATACTGTAAATACAGCACATAACGTAAAATGCTGAGCGATCTGTAGCTCAATGGTAAAGCATCAGCTTTCTATGAAGAAAACTGCTTTTTTCTGGGGGGACACAGGGGTATGCTTACCTCTAAACATTTTGTGAATCTTTGTACTTTTGTCCATTTACTGTATTTATTTTTCCTGATTATAAAATGGTAATTTCCTTGAATCAAAATGAGAGTACCCCTAAACATAATTTTTTAGAAAAAAAAGCACTGGAAGAAAGTCCCAAGGCTAGAAGAAACTCCTGCCTAAAACCCGGGAGAGCTGTTTCCAACTTGGGTGGACCAATAGAAGGCAGCTTCCTATATTCATAATTGATTATACAATTGTCTGCACACAAATGTGTTTTGCCACTGAGCAACAACCCGTCACTAGTATGAGAGTGGTGTTCTGAAACCCAAAAAAAGTATGTGCATTGTTCCATAATGTGCCCTCATAGTCATTAACATCTCGCAAGTCACCAATGTTCTGCAAAATAACTAAAAAATCATGCCATATCACCCTTCTTTCATTTGGAAATGGTCATCTGAATACATTTTCCTCCTTCCATTGTAGCAAGCCCCCATTACCAGTGCTTTTAACTTAAACATCCTTTTAAATTTGCTCCTTTTATAAATCACATTGCAGTTTGCTCGCTCATCGGTTTTCAAATAGGAATTTTCACCAATGCCCTCATGTTGGCATATTTTGTAGTCTCCTGCAGCTATGCCATTTCAGTGTGTGCATGTGTGTTTTGGTGTGTGTGGGGGGGGGTTGCCCTTAATATCTCAGAAGCTTTAAGAAACAAATTATTAGAAGTTACGTCTGACAATATGCAAATCAATGTATACTAAAGAAAAAACTGCTTTCAATCTTCTACAACTGACATTTATTTCTTTTACTATCGTGGTGTTCACACATTACATTCAACAGGTGTGCAATCTGTGTACCTGCGTACAGAAATATTTGAGCTGTACACTTATACAGTTAATCACATGTAATGTTTAATGTGTGTGCAGTAGGTGTACCTGTGTACACAATAGTTGAGCTGCACAATTCAACAAGAATCTATATCGTACAAGAGGATATTCCAGCATTGCGGGGGACTAGACGAGATGACTCTTGAGACATATCCCAACTCTACAATTGTATGATTCAATGTTCTCTTTCACACAAACATTTGTATATGTGTAGAGACAGCTTGTACCTGTGTTCAATGTAACATATGAGCAAGCCTTATGGAAGGAGGAAATCCAGGTTTACTATAAGGAATTTACACCATCTATGACCATGAACAAGGTGTGATGCGGATGCAAGCCACACATACAGTGAGGCCTCCTTCTTAAGTCCCTTGCGACAGACGTTTTCAAGCTCACACAACACCAGAAGGAAAACAGAAAATAAAAGAATTATTTACACTGGAATGTTAAAGTCCAACTCCTTAGAAGGGTGTTCCTTGAAGGAAACCTTTGGGAAAAAGTATATTATCTGAGAAACAATTCCACCAATGAGGAGACCACCGGACTGGTACCTCTCATGAGGAACAGGGAGGGGAGAACTTGCAAGACAATTCATGGTAGCTACTTTTGAAACCAGAAACAGCAGCATCACTAATACCACCATCCTGGTGGCTAAATTTATGTCTTGATTAGATTCTCACATGTCCACCTATAGTTTCATCACTGGCATTAAACACCAGCAGATTCTACCAATATTCTTCAGAAAGAGAAACATATTGTCATTAACATTGGCAACGTAAAAAATGTGTGAGGGAGAAACTGACAGAGTTCAAACTGACAGAGCCCTGCCTACCTCTGATCCCTAACCCAAGCTCTGTTTGGCATAAAGGGAAGGTTTATAACCACTTTAAGACTTGTTGATGGATTGTTTTCATATTACTTTCTGGAACACTGTCCCCCCTGTCATGGAGAGTCAATTATTTCAAATAATTGCATGGAAGATAATACCCCTTGCAAAGTTTTGTCCCCAAGTGGCTACACTGGTAGTAAACATGTTTTTCTCCATCTCCTCTGCTCCATAGTGAGACAACTATCAAGGGAGTGAACCCACACTGAACCCACATCCAGGGGTGTAGGGTCAGTGGGCTGCCGGGGTGATGGCCCTGTGTGCATTTTTCTGGGGGTGCGTGGCTGCCCTGCTGTGTCCTCCTCATGTCGCCCTTCCATCCCACAAGGTGGCATGAGGAGGGTGCAACAGACATGCGTCCTTCGATCCCAGACTCACCCTCATATTGTGAGGCTGAGATTGAAGGGTGCATGGCTGTTACATCCTTCTCCCTCCCTGAGCTGGATCAGGACTGGCATCATGTCAGCAGTGAGGGCTGGGCTGGTGCATCCCCTCCCCCACTTTAGTGCGCTTGTGAGTGTCATGAAGACTTGCTCTGCCTCTGTCCACAACAACTCCAGTGGGTGAGACTGGCCCTTGGATAAAGCCAACTTTGGACTAGAACTAGCAATAACCCAATTGGCCTCTTCCTCCTCTTCCTCCTTGTCCCATCAAGGCCATTATAAGATAGGACACTTCAGTTAAAGGTGAAAATGTCCAGTAGCACCTTAGAGACCAGCTAAGTTTGTTCTTGGTTGTATCTGAAGAAGTGTGCATGCACACAAAAGCTTATAGCCAGAACAAACTTAGTTGGTCTCTAAGGTGCTACTGGACATTATATATATATATCTCTCAACTGTGTCAGACCAACACAGCTACCTACCTGAATTCAGTTAAAGGCATTATTTACAAGGAATCATCCACAGAGCCTTTGCTCAGGTCTCTGTGAAACTCAGATACCGATTAAGTGAGGTTTGTTGTTCCTTATTACTGGATATTTTATATGTGAGAATCCCTCCTGCCTATACATGCAGGGAATGTCGTATACTGCTTATGACTACTCTCTACAAAACTATGAGGGATTTAAGGAACATAGGAAGTGGCCTTGCGGCAAGCCAGACAAGTGGCCCATCTAGCTCAACATTTTCTACACTGATATTTGGCAACTCTCCAGAGTTTCAGACAAGGGATACCACCAGCCCCACTTGAACATGCCATAGACTGAAACTGGGACATTCTGCATGCAAAGCAGATGCTCTTCCACTGAGCTACAGCCCCCATTGGATTGAACATGGAGTGGCAGGCAGAGATCAGTGAGGAGACTGAACAGAATAATGGCATGGGGGAGCTGAGTCAGGGGAAGGGAGGCTGGAGGAAGTGGGTGCAGGGCCATCTTAAATATATCTGGTGCCATGGTGCAAAGATCCCTTCGGCGCCCCCGCCCCCCCCCCCCCGTTTCCCAGAGTTGCTGACCTTTCTATGGTGCTGTCAGCAGCTTTGCGGGGCTGGAGGAGGTGGAAAGTGGCTGGAGGGTGGGTCCTCCGGTGGGGAAGAGGCGGAGGCTCCGGGCGCAGTGCTGCTTCAGTGAGGAAGGCAAGGGCGGTGAACTGATGCCGGGAGGCACCGCGTCTAGCCTCCGTCTCTTCCCTGCTGCCCTCCATTACTTGGCTTCCTGGCGCCCTGCGCCACTTGCCTCTATGGGCAAGATGCCCCTGAGTGGGTGCTCTTACAGGATAAGGCTGCTCTGAATGTTAAAGCAGGCTTGCCACTTCTCCTCTTCCCTCCCAGGGAGTGGAGTACAGTAATGGAATCTGGAAAGGACACCAGCCAACCACTAGGGGGGTTGGAACCAGAGTCTGAAGGGGAGGCTCCCACCTGGTTATCCATGACCTAGTGGTGTTCCCATCACTGAAAATAGGCACATCCACTCGATGCAATAAAAGTCTGCACACTCAACAATTTCTCAAGATATGAGAGTCATGTCTTGCTCCATCTTTAATAGCTTGGCATGTGGGCATAGCAACCCACTGGGACACACTGTTTCCTTCCCTGGTCTTGCACTCCATAAGTGGAACTGCCTGGTCATAAATGCTGCTGTGACTCATTATCTGATGCTGAGTCTGTACCTCTAGTCTGTCTCAGGAATGATCTCTCCCTTGCTCTCATGTGCTACTATAGAAGCAGACAGAGAAAGAAGTAGAAGAAAACTGACCCATTATGTGTATGCTTCTAGGTAATGTGTAAAAAAATGAGTAGGCATAAAATAAATAGCCACACAGTTTTTGGAACCTGCTTAAAACATTTTTGTTTACACAAGCTTATTCAGACATGTAGAAGTTGAGATAGAAATATGGGGTGGCTGGGGAAACCCAGCCAGATGGGCGGGGTATAAATAATAAATTATTAAATTATTATTATTGCTTTTTAGCCTCTCATTGTTTTAATTGTTTTTTGAATATTTTTTCAGATACTTGCTTTTAATAATCTTTTAATGATAATCATAATGTTTTTATTTTATTTGTAAAGTTGTATTGCAATCAAGTTGTATTGCAATCAAGGGGTATATAAATTTTGTTAAATAGAACAATTCATTAAATAAATTAGCTTTTTTTTCAGTCAAGGTAAGCCCCTTGGGCCAGAATGCAAGGATCTGTGTGGTGCGAATTGTGATGGCTGAGATTGACATAGAAGTAGCCTTCATAAACTGTTCTTCCCTTGTCTTTCAGAAGAGGGCAGCAGAGGTGTAATAATGACTGCATTGCCTAGCAGGGAAGTAAGGTGGTAAGCCAAGTGCTGTTTTTTGCTTTCAGTTATGATGCTGATTGTTCCCCTCCAGCTTTTGGTTGAAACCTGATCTAAGAAATATTCGTCCTCAATAGACTTTCCCACAAAATGTTTCAGTCTTATTAAACTTTCTAAGGGCCAGGCTGGGCTTTATAACTGTCATGCATTTGTATCTCTAAATTCAAGTAATATTCATTCCACGTCAACAAGAAATCAACAAGACTGGCAGTCAAATCGGGAAACAGGACAGCATCTGCCACCATTCCTGAGGGCAGGGGGCAAGCTCAAGGGGTACAGGGCAGCAATCTCTTCTGAATACCCATAATTCCTAGAGAGAAACTCCCATGATAGCTTCTTCCATAATTGATGTGCTATGTTTTATTTTAAATTAGATTACCAGAAAAATTTACTACTACTACTACAACAACAACTACAACTACAACTTATTTCTTTATATGCCACCCATCTGACTCGGTTGCCCCAGCCACTTTGGGCAGCTTCCAATGAATTAAAACATTTAAGACTTCTTGTTCAGTGCCCATGATTCTTCCCTGATTCTTACAAATTCGTATTGTACGCAAGTATTTACTGCCTTTCAAATGATGTATACAGAGTGCATTCATAAAGAGATGTGAGTGGCTCTTTTATGCTCTTTTTAAAAATAAAATCAGTGAAGTAATACATTTATGTGTGTTAGATAAAATTAAGCCAACAAACAGGGGGTGAGAAACTGACAAACTCAGTTTTGTATTATTGTGCTTGAAGAGACACTGTGATAAAGGTCAATAGGGGCTGTGTATCATCATCATCAACATCATCATTTCATTGTTTATATCCCTCCCATCTGGCTGGGTTTTCTCAGGTACTGTAGGCAGCTTACAGCACATAAAAACCTGTAAAACATTAGACATTAAAAATTTCAGGGTTGCCTTCAGATGTCTTCTAAAAGTAAGATAGTTATTTATTTCCTTGACATCTGATGGGAGGGCATTCCACAGGGTGGGCGCCACTACCAAGAAAGCCCTCTGCCTGATGTCCTGTAACCTCACTTCTTACAGGGAGGGAATCGCCAGAAGGCCCTCAGCGCTGGCCCTCAGTGTCCAGGCTGAACGATGGGGGTGGAGACGCTCCTTCAGGTATACTGGGCTGAGGCCGTTTAGGGTTTTCAAGGTCAGCATCAACACTTTGAATGGGAAACTGAAAAGGGGAAACTGATTCTGAATGCCTATTTCTGGTACTTTTTAATGGCCATAAAACTAAACAAAAACCCAGTGAGTGGAGATGTCACACCTACTCCTTCCTTAGGGCCCTCAAAGCAGAAGGCCTTTGTTCACCAGCTAAGAGTAAGTTATGTTTAATTCAGTGGATATTAATCCTAAATTAACAGTCAACACGATCTTCTTACAGCGCCAGCTGCAGGAGAAATGCAAAGTGCATAGACACCCTGGACTCAGCTATACAGCTGCAAATTAAACATTTTAAGTGTCTTGTAAAGTGCAATATACAAATGTGACACTAGGGGGCGATAGTGAGACATGACAAATTCAACGTAATTTTCAAAATGGTTTTTTTTAAAAAAGCATTTTCATAGTGTTTTTAATATGTGTGTAGATTCCACCACTTTGTACATTCCCTTCATAGACCTGACAAAGGCCTTTGACTTTATCAGCTGCAAAGGATTCCTCACACTGCTCAACAAGATGGGATGTCCCCCTGAGCTTCACAAGAGGGTAGTGTCCTTCCACGAAAACATGTGTAGCACTATCCAGTATGAAGGCTCATAAACAGGTGCCTTCCCTGTGTGAGTGGCCATAGTGTCTGATGAGAACTGGAGCTTAACATCCACTAGAAGGCAACAGGTGAAGAAGGCTGATTGGTTCTGTTACAGTCATACCTTGGAAGTCAAACAGAAACCAAAGCATGGCTTCTGATTGGCTGCAGGAAGTTCCTGCAGCCAATCGGAAGCCGTGGAAGCCCTGTCAGACGTTTCCATTCCAAAGAATGTTCGCAAACCGGAAAACTAACTTCCTGGTTTGCGGTGTTCGGGAGCCGAAACGTCCAAGTACCAAGGCGTTCGGGATTCAAGGTACGGCTGTACATGCATACATTAACTATTTTCATAAATGTCTTCATAATGCATTCTGACAATGGTGTTGGACACAGTCTCACCTGATTCCTATCAACAGATATAGTGACCAAGTGTTTGCAACCTTTCAAATAATCTGTGGAGTTTGTATGCACAAAGAGATTGTTGTTGCTGTTTAGTGATTTAGCCGTGTCCGACTCTTCGTGACCCCCTGGACCAGAGCACGCCAGGCACTCCTGTCTTCCTCTGCCTCCCACAGTTTGGTCAAACTCATGCTGGTAGCTTCGAGAACACTGTCCCACCATCTCGTCCTCTGTCATCCCCTTCTCCTTGTGCCCTCCATCTTTCCCAACATCAGGGTCTTTCCCAGGAAGTCTTTTCTTCTCATGAGGTGGCCAAAGTCTTAGAGCCTCAGCTTCAGGATCTATCCTCCCAGTGAGCACTCAGGGCTGATTTCCTTCAGAATGGATAGGTTTGATCTTCTTGCAGTCCATGGGAAAGAGATAATGGTTACCAGTGGGATGTCTTGCTCTTTTATGCTGAACTTTATGTAAATACAGGGGCAGGTTCCTCTTTTTATCAGTCATTGCCTCTCCCAGACCCAGCCATCTCGGGAGACAAAACTGTTGTGTGCCCAGCAACCTTCCAGCCAACACCCACGCCCAAGACAAGCAAGGAAGTGAATGATGCATTGGCTTCCATTTGTTTTCACTTTAGCAGCGATTAGAGGTGCTTTTTTGCCTTTCAAATACTAGAGTTCCATTCCCAGGGTTACATGAAGCAGATCTCTTAGAAACATTCTTTCTTTCCAGGTGTCCAAGCAAAGGTCCAGGTGGTGGAAACTGGAGGAGATGTCAAAAGACCTGGAGAGTCCCTCCGCCTCTCTGGCCAAATCTCTGGGTTCAACATCAGCGGCATCTGCATGGATTGGGTACGACAGGCTCCAGGGAAGGAACCGGAATGGATTGCAAGGGATTGTGGTGGAAGCTCAAAATCTTATGCTGACTCAGTGAGAGGGCGCTTCACCATCTCCAAGAATGACCCTTCAAACATGGTATATCTGCAAATGAACAGCCTGAAACCTGAGGATGCAGCTGTGTATTACTGTCTGAAAGTAGACACAGTGAGAGGAAGTGAATCTGAAGCCTAACAAAAAAGCCCCCTTTGTGCATTGCAGCTCTCCAGATTGATTCAGCTGCTTTAGATTGAATGTGGAATGGTTTTCCGGTACAAATTCAGCAGATACGCTTTATACTAATTTTCAAATGTTTGCTGAAAACTTTCCTTTCACTCTAGGAATATGGAAACAGGTTGGGATATTTTTTCTGTTAGAGCTGCTGAACTGTTTCAAGTTTTATTTGGTTTTTTATTGTATTTGTTATGAACAGATTTGTTATTTTTTTAATTGAGGTATACATAATTTTATAAACATACAAACAAAACATGTGAGATTGGTCCTGTGAATCACTGGGGCAGGAAGGGATGAGGGGAATATCGGATTCAATGTGTATTTAAGAGAGAACCTACATAATCTGCACTTTCTGAAATAATATAAGAACATCATTAAAAATATGCACTTAAAGTTCTTCAGCCAAGTAATATGTACATACATGCATACACTGGGGTAAAGTGTGCACAAAAATTCATATCCAGTGCTTTTTTTCTAAAAAAAATAAAATAAAAAATGTTTAGGGGTACTCTCATTTTCCTACTCATATTGAAATACTGCCCCTCAATGAGGCCAAACTTAGATTCACAAAATGTTTAGGGGTATGTGTACCCCTCTGTCCCCCCAGAAAAAAGCACTGTGCATATTTTAGTGAAAGCAACATTAAAAATGCAATATGTTGGGGAATATTATTTTGGGGAAAAATGTGTGTATCAGGTACAATTGGATACAAGTGTGCATGTATTCAGGAAAAAATTGGCCCTTTGTAAACAGATGTGGAAATGCGGAGAAAAAACATGTATAAAAAAAGACACACTTAAAGAAACCAGATTTGATAGATCATCCCACCATAACAGACTCTTTATATTCCACATTTTCCATGAGAGAGGAGAACTCATGCAAATACTTCCAGGAGGCTCTCTTCAAAAGGAAACCTCTCAGATGAAGGATGCTCAGTTTCTCCCTGGTGTAAAGGCTCCTGTTTCCTGTTTAGCCAGGGCATCTCTTCACTAATGTGATGAAATTAGTGAAATCTCTTCACTAATGTGATGAAATTGATCCCTTTCTTGTTTTTCTTAGTGGATGTCCCAAGATGTAAGAACACGTTTAATGGAATATCCAGAAATTGGAGTTTAATTATTAGAATGGTTACATGAAATGCTGCATTGATTGTAATGTTCTATGTTTTCAAGGGGCCTTCTCGGACATCCAGCTTGCATCATCTGGACCAGGCACAGTGAGACCAGGAGAGAATCTCAACCTGGTCTGTAAAGTAACAGGTTTCTCCATTGCTACATCTGGCTATGACTGGCATTGGATTCGGCAGCCTCCTGGGAAAGGTCTAGAATGGATTGCATGGGTTTAGGGGTATGCGTACCCCTCCGTCCCCCCAGAAAAAGCAGGAAAAAGGGATATGACCCTTCCTTTCAAAGCCGTGCAACCATTTCTTCAGAAACCTCCAAGAATGAGTTCTCCCTCCAGCTGAACTCATTGACAGCTGCAGACTCAGCTTTCTATTATTGTGCTTGAAAAGACACAGTGAGACATGGCAAATGGGGGCAGTGTACGAAAAGGGGAAACTGATTTTGAGGGACTATTTCCCAGCAAGTGGAGAGGTCCTGACAATTTCATGTCCCGGGTTCCCAAAATGCAGAAAGCCTGTTCTCACATACCTAGGAGTAAATTCTGTTTAATTCAGTTGGTCTTAATTCTAATTAGATATAGCAGAGAACTGTTAGTGCTGACACGCTTAAATTTTTTAGTTATATTGAAGGAAAAACAACATTGGAAAGCTCAAGTTGGGTATAGTGGGAAATATGAGATAAGGACTGTGTGGTATTCTCCACAAGATCACAATTGAGATTGTTCCAAAACCACTCTTAAAGCAAGGGATAGTTCTTAGATCATCTTGGTTTCAGAATTGTGGGTGCCTGTCTGATTTTTATAACAACTGTATTACTACTGCCGCCATCTACTGGGTGGCGCTGTGGGTTAAAGCACAGAGCCTAGGACTTGCCGATCAGAAGGTCGGTGGTTCGAATCCCCATGACAGGGTGAGCTCCCGTTGCTCGGTCCCTGCTCCTGCCAACCTAGCAGTTCGAAAGCACATCAAAGTGCAAGTAGGTAAATAGGTACCGCTCTGGTGGAAAGGTAAACGGTGTTTCTGTGCGCTGCTCTGGTTCACCAGAAGTGGCTTAGTCATGCTGGCCACATGACCCAGAAGCTGTACACCGGCTGCAACCCCAGAGTCGGTCACGACTGGGCCTAATGGTCAGGGGTCCCCTTTACCTTTTATTACTACTGCCACCAGGCTAAAAGCCTTGCTTTACTTTCCCCGGAGAGTTCTGGGAACTGTTGTTGTGCCACTGATTCCCCCCCCCCCCCAATACTCATTGGCAGTGCAATTTTCCAGAAACAGAGGTGTCTGAACTCACCATGAATGTCTCTCTTGTTCTCTCATAATGGCAATGGCACCCACCCGAGAGGTGCCAGAACTGATTTCCGGCGAGATGCAGCTGGGAAAAAAAAGTCCTGCCTATTGGCACCATTTCTCAGAAAATGCTCTAACATAAGCTATATTAAAGGGACGCGGGTTGTGCTGTGGTCTAAACCACAGAGCCTAGGGCTTACTGATCAGAAGGTCTCCTATTTGAATCCCCGTGATGGGGTGAGCTCCTGTTGTTCAGTCCCAGCTCCTGCCCACCTAGCAGTTCAAAAGCATGTCAAGTGCAAGTAGATAAATAGGTACCACTTCGGCATGAAGGTAAATGGTGTTTCCATGTGCTGCTCTGGTTTGCCAGAAACGGCTTAGTCATGCTGGCCACATGACCCAGCAGCTGTCTGCAGACAAACACCGGCTCCCTCGGCCTATAGGGCGAGATGAGCGTGCAACCCCAGAGTCGTCCGTGACTGGACCTTTACCTTTACCTTTAAGCTATATTCTGCTTAGCCAAAGGGAACCAGCAGAGCCACTCAGTACCTTTGGATTCTGTATTAAGCCAGAGATTTCCAAATATTATAAAATACTGAGTGAGTGGGAGGTGGGGAAGTCCTTGCAACACGGACTGTCTATAAAAGGATGATGGTGCCATTTGGGCTTAGCCAAAACATGAGCAAAAGGAATGTGGCAATACTGCGGCAAAGGGCTCATCTTGCAGCAGAGCCATGTTGGATCTGTTGTTGTTTAGTCTTGTCAAACTCTTCATGCCAGGCACTCCTGTCTTCCACTGCCTCCCGCAGTTAGTCATGTTGGATCTAGAAACTCCAAAGCCCCCATCAGATGTAACCTTAGAAATAGAGGTGGGGGGAAGAAGCAGAAGAAAATTGGCTGGTCCTTACCATCAATGTTTATGAACCAGTATCGGTGAAGGTCAAATCACCTGGTCCAGATAGTACAAGGATTTGTAACAGTGAATTGCTCTAGCAATGCTCAAGCTGCAGTCGTTTGCATTAGTTGCATCTCTTCATAAAACTTCCTCCCCTTGTCTTTCGCAAGAGGGCAGCAGAGTTGTAAATATGATTCTATTGCCTAGGAGGTGGATAACATGGTGGTTTTGTGGTTTCAGCCTCAATGCTGATTATTTTCTCAGCCGTTTGGTTGAAACCTCTTCATGGAAGACTCTTTATCCTCTAAAGCCTTTCCCTCAAAAAGTTTCCAATGAAAGCTGAGGCAGTGTTATCCAGCATTCTAAAAGCCAGACTAGACTTTATAATTGCCATGTATTTTGAGCTTCTGTGGGGGGGGTGTCTGTCTCCCCCCCCCCAAAAAAAATTCAATGTTTGGCTCCAAACAAGTTTTCAAAGGGGGGCAGGTTCCTTAATCCCATGCCTGCTGATTACAATGGATAGAAATATACATAATGTTGGCTGAAAGGTAGATAGAATACACTAAGTTACTTACTAACTAAGAAAGTTACTAAGATGCCTTCTTAGATTCCAAGAGAGAGAGAAAGGAAAGGACAGAATTTTATGGAGAGTTGGGACACCTTTTGAATATCAAAATATTTTGACAGAATTATTTACATTTTATTTATGCATATTTTACCTTTATATACCACCTTTTCCTCCAAATAGCTCAAGGTGGTATACATGGGAAATGGCATGTTAGGCTGAGAGATGGTGACTCGCCAAAGGTCGAGTAGTATACAGTCAAACCACTGTTGTCGAACGTAATATGTTCCAGAAGCCAGTTCGGTTCCGAAATGTTCAACAACTAAATTGTGGATTCCGATTGGTTGCAAGAGATTCCTGCACTCAGCGGAAGCTGATTCGGATGTTTGGTTTCCGAAAAACATTCAAAAACTGGAGCATTTATTTCTGGGTTGTTGTTCTGGGTTGTTGGCATTCGGGAATTGAGGTTTGACTGTACAGTGGTACCTCGGTTTACGAACATTCCTGTTTACGAACAATTCAGTTTACAAACTCCGCAAAACCAGAAGTAGTTTGCGAACTTTACCTCAATCTATGAATGGAAGCCGAATGGGGGAAGGGCACTAGCGGTGGGAGGCCTCATTAGGGAATGCGTGCCTCGGTTTAAGAACAGATTTGGTTTAAGAAAGGGCTTCAAGAGCAGATTAATTTTGTAAATTGAGGTACCACTGTATTGGAATATCAAAATATCTGACAGAAATTTAAAAAATAAATAGATTCAAAATGGCCTCCATCCATTCCATGCTCAGAAATCAACCAGACTGGCAATTGAATCAACACGGGCCAAAGGACAGCACAGCATCTCCTACCACCTGTGAGGGGATGGGACAAGCTCAAGGTGTACAGGGAAACTCCAGTCTCCCAAACTCTGCTGCTGATCCCTTTCCCCCTACAGCTGCCTAACTCTGCCTACTGGTAGGGACAGCCCTTCTGAAGGAAGCATGTGAAAAGTTAACTTGCTTCTACTGGCTATCCATAAGTTACAGGGAGCAGATTCCATAATCATTTATTCCATGGCTGAGCAGCTATAATTTATTTAGATTTAGATTTTCTTGCTGACCCATGCTTTGTGTCCATAATTCTCATCCCGGTTCTTATCCATAGATATGGTGACCAGCTGTTTGCCACCTTCCAAATCTTAAGTGGAGTGTGTTTGCATAAAGAGATAAGGATTACTCAAGGGCTGCTTTGCCCCTTTATGCTGAGCTGTATGTAAATTTGAAGGCTGTTTCCTCTTTATATCAGTGGTCACATCTCCCTGCTCTAGCCACATCAGGAGACACACCCTGTTTGCCCAACACATTTCCAGTTAACCTCCCCACCACAAAGACAAGGAAAGAAATGATGCTTTGGTTTCCATTTGTGTTCACTTTAGCAGCCTTCAAAGGTATTTTTTCAAATACAGGGGAGAGTACCATTCACAGAGTTATATGAAGCAGATCTCTTACAAACATTCTTTCTTTTCAGGTGTCCAAGCAGACATCCAGCTTGTTGAGTCTGGAGGAGATGTCAAAAGGCCCGGAGAGTCTCTCCGCCTCTCCTGTCGAATCTCTGGATTCACCCTCAGCAGCTACTGCATGGATTGGGTACGACAGGCTCCAGGGAAGGGACTGGAATGGATTGCAAGCGATTGTGGTGGAAGTTCACAATATTATGCTGCCTCAGTGAGAGGGCGCTTCACCATCTCCAAGGACAACTCTGCAAACATGGTATATCTGCAAATGAACAGCCTGAAACCTGAGGACACAGCTGTTTATTACTGTGCAAGAGACACAGTGAGAGGAAGTGTATCTGAAGGCAGACACAAACCTCCCTTTGCCCATGGCAGCTCTCTAAATTGAGTTAACTGCACCAGAGTGAATGAAGACATTAAGAGAAGGGAAACAAATGCTTTATTTGGAAATCCTGCCAAACATCTTAAATAATAAAAAAGACTAAGATTGAGACCAAGAATTTGTCCAAAAGAAATCAGTACATGATGCTCAACCAATGTTCTCATGACTTAATGATTTTTCTGTTACAGACATCCTTGCTCCCTGCATATGATTACTGGTTTTATTATCTGTTCTACGTTGATGCAGAATACCGCCTCATATCCCCTCCTTTTTTGAGGTGAGCAGAATAGATTGGATTGGCATAGATAATATTCCAACCCAGTTTCTGGACTGTGCCCTCTGTTTCTAATCCAATTGATGTAATAAGATCTAGTTAGAATTATCTTGTTCTTTTCCTTATTAGCTGCTCCCTACTGTTCAGCTCAGGCCTCAGCAGAATAATGTAACATTTGGGTGAAAAGATGCAGCCAAGTAAGCCAGCAGTGGAGGCCAAGATGGAGAAGATCTCCACAGCCACCATGTATTTCCCTTTGGTGCTCAAGTATGTTGGAACAAAGGATAACCAAACACTGCAGAACATCAACATGCTGAAGGTGATGAACTTGGCTTCATTGAATGTGTCCGGCAGCTTCCTTGCCAGGAAAGCCACAATGACACTGATGGTAGCCAGAAGTCCAAGGTAGCCCAAGACAAGATAGAACATGAGCACAGAGCCTTCATTGCATTCTGCTACAATTTCTTCTGGCAGCGAATGCATGTCCAAATCTGGAAATGGAGGAGACCTTGCCAGCCACGTGGCACAAATGGCAGCTTGAATGAGGAAGGAGGAAACCACAGTGGAGTTGGTCACCCTTTTTCCCACCCACTTCCTCATGTTGGAGCCTGGCTTGGTGGCCATGAAAGCCATAACCACAGTGATGGTTTTGGCTAAGATGCAAGAGACAGCCACTGAAAAGATGATTCCAAAAGAGGATTGTCGGAAAAGGCAGGACATCTTCTGAGGCTGCCCAATGAAAGGAAAAGAGCAGAGGAAGCAGAGCAGGAGCGAAATAAGGAGAATGTAGGTGAGGTCCCGGTTGTTGGCTTTGACTATGGGGGTATCTTTGTGCTTAATAAAAATTCCAATAACCATAGCTGTAACTAAGACGAAAGAAAGAGTAACCAAAGTTAAACTGACCCCTAAAGGCTCCTCATAGGATAGAAAACTTATTGACTTGGGAATGCATTTATCTTTTTCTTTGCCTGGATATTGTTTTTCTGGGCATTTGAAACAGTCATCCATATCTGAAAAAAAGAGGAGTTACCATTTTACTGAAAATGCATGTATTTATTGGAGCCAATGGCCACAACTGTCTTTCAGCTTGGGGTAGCTCATATTGCTCAAATAAAAAAATCATACCCCCCCCTGCCCCTCGGTGTGTGTGCCTTTTATCCAAAGATCCCAGGGAGGTATAAAACATTAAGAATACCACATGGGCATATAAATGAAATATAATATTATTTCCAGTGTGCATCACTTTACAATCGAATCACCCTCCATTTTTCTTAGCTCTGTCCTAGAAGGGGCTCCTTCTTTTTACCCCCCTTGATTGCTTAAACCTCCCATTTCTAGGATCTCCCAGCTTGTCCCTTCCCTAGACTGCTCCCCAGTGCCAGGGTCCAGGATCCAGGGTCTAAGTCTTCTTCCTCTTCTTCTATGCCTTCCATGGGGGGCTCTTGGGCAGGTGGTGCCCACTGCTCTTCCTTGCCCACCCAGTCCCTGACATACAAGGTCAAAATGAAACCCCAGCACCTAATCTGGCTTCTGCATTTTGGACCAATTGAAGTTTTCACTTTAACACTCAAAGCTGGAGTACATTGTGCATCATGTCACTTACCCTCTTGATCTGAAATCTTCCCTTCCGGGCATGGACCACAATCGAAGCAACAGAATTTTTCCCCTTCCTTCGCTTTTTTCTGATTGCCAGCATGGCAAGAATGAGTACACACAGAAAGGGGAAGCACCTATCCATAGAAAAGGAATGAGGGGGAGCAGAAATGATAATTTAAAAACCAGCTAACTGTAAATTGAAATACAATGATTTGACACTGAAGAACAAAGAGCACAGTGCAGGCAACCATCTGCCAGTCTTTCACTGAGCATGCCAAACAGTATTCTTACAAAAGTTGGGTGCCTTCTCCTGTCTCTGCCGAGCAGTGGCAAGAGCCCATGGGGTCCCAAGCACTCACCCAGGGTCTGTGTTCCTTTGGAGAACTGAAGATATGGCAGAGACTGCCGTGGCTTTAAGAAATATGGCTTATTCACTTATTCACACCTCCACTCTGCATGCAGGGAGTCCACATCTTACAGCATGGTCATTTCGAGAGGGACTTGTACCCCCCAGCAGTGCAGCTTTGAAATCCAAGGCATCTCAGCAGCAAGGCTTGCACCCAGCCTCCCCCAAACATGGATCTCTGCTCTTCTTCCTCTTCATCTTCCCAGATATCCTTGCTTGAAAACTCCCATTCCTGTCCCCACATCACCTTGGTAACATCTCACTCTCCAGGTCAAAGGATTCCTTTCTCATGACCCTTTAACACCTTTTGTCACGTCAACAGGTTTGCTCTTACTTTCATCCACTCCCCAATTAAACAAAATTCTAGCATTTCTTCATTCCTATGGTTTAAGGGGGTCCCCCATTTAAATTAAAACAATATGTATGCATTCAATTGCTTGACTGATGAGAAGTTGAAGACCAGATAAAAAGGATGACTATTTCTACTCAGTGCGTCATAGAAATGTGATGGCCAACTGGTGATGTATAGTCCAGGTTTGGACCATGAAGAAATGATAACTGGCCAAAATTTATTAAGGCCTAAACAATATTTAGCACTCTACAGTAAACATACAACTGCTTTCAATTGATAGGAAGAACAGGGATATTCAGCACCTCAAACGGACATTTTGTTGTTGTTTTTTTAATCTGACATTAATAGTGCCTAATTACCATCGGCACAATAAATTGTTTTGTAAGGTAAATTTCTGACCCTCAGATAATCTGCCCTAATAATGAAATAGCCCATGAGATTGCCCTGGAATCCACACCTGGTTAAACCGCCTATGCCATACGATCCTATCATCACTGATGAGGAATTTGTGTCCTTCTTTGGGATCCACCCTTCCAACCTTCACTTGAACAAAAGAGTTGTTGGGGAACATGACCATGTTCATGATGTCAAATCCAGCTCCCATTTCCCTCTTGTCATTAAAAGTTACCAGTTCTCCAGCTGAGTTGTTAAATGAAATGTCTTGAAGAAATGGGTGGAGCTAGTTAACAGAGAAAAAGTTAAAAAAGTATATACTTAATATTATTATTACTGTTGTTATATTTAGTAGAGACTGTCCAATTTTTTTGATGAAGATGCAATAAATTTGCAGGTGTAGAGTACTGAGAATGTATAGATTCTCTTTCTCCTATCTCTTTCTCTGCCCCATCAAACATCTAAGTGGAAAACAGAAATCACAAACTTTGTCAGTGAGTACTACCTACTGTTATTTGTACTCTTCAGTATTTAACTGTGACACCCTTTCTATGATATCCTTAAGCTGAAAAGAAAAACAGCTTTACAATTTGTTGTAAAATAAAAGTGATGCAGCAAAGAAAACAGGAGACATCAGCAAAGAACAGCATCGAAACAATCAGAGCTAAACTAAAACCATTTTGTCTTTGAGTCCTGGAAGACCTGCTGCTTGTCTTTGCAGATCTTTTCCCAGCTGGCCTTGTATGGCAGCACCCTAACTGACTCCAGCTACAAAAGCAGAGCTCCAACATTTCTCCAATGAAAATAGGGACATCCTAAGGAAAAGCTGGACATTCTGGGATCAAATCAGAAACCGGCTTCTGTAAATGTGGGACTGTGCCTGCAAAAGGTGCGGCAGCTGAAGATGCCTGAGACCATCTTGGCTGTCTTTTAGTGTTTCTTCTTCTTTGGCGATCACTCTTCGCTGAGTAAGATTGACTTCCATAAAGACGGTTTTAACAATGAGTCTGTAAGTAAAGTAGAGGCCTATTCTAGATCCACATGCCCTACCACAGTGGGGATATTGGTTTCTGGATGGGAGTTGATCACGATGTGGATTTGCCAAGCGTGCCTTCCTCTTAGCACGTTTCTCCCTTTCATCCAGAGTTTGAGCATCTTCAAAGCCCATGAAACCTTTGGTAAAGGCTGTTCTCCAATTGGAGCACTTGCAGGCCAGTTTTTCCCAGTTGTCAGTGTTTATACTACATATTTTAAAGAACTGCCTTGAGAGAGTCTTCAAACCTCTTTTGTTGATCACCAGCATTACGCTTTCCATTTTAAAGTTCAGAATAGAGTAGTTTTCATAGGGCAGTGCCTGAGTGCAGTGCTAGGTCATTGAGCCTGAGCTTCCACAACTGCTGCCTAACATGAACCACCATTGCAAAGATTGGCAGCAACAGCAACATACGTGTTCTATGCTTATGTTAATATGTTATTCTTTTGTTAGCTTTGCTGCTTTCAGCATGCACTCTGCACTTGACCTCCTTTGTACTGTTTTCTTCTCAAATCTTTAAGGTATTATTCTACCTTCCTGTTAATGTGATGCTTTTAATGTATATTTTATATTTCACTTTTTCCAATAACCTTTCGTTCTGGATTGCTTTATTTTATGTTTGAACGTTTGGTAGAGACAAAAATTTTCATGCCTGCAGGCCAGGAGATTTGATAAATGATAGATAGATATAGATAGATAGATGATAGATAGATAGATAGATAGATAGATAGATAGATAGATAGATGATAGATGATAGATAGATGATAGATGATAGATAGATAGATAGATAGATAGATAGATAGATAGATAGATAGATAGATAGATAGATGATAGATGATATAGATAGATAGATAGATAGATAGATAGATAGATAGATAGATGATA